AGTGCCCACTGATAGATCCACCAGACCCAATCTAGTGCCATGCTGCAGCTGGGGGAAGCAGGGAACTTGAGTTCAGCTTTCAGGTCAGTGACACCTCCTGGGCCAGATCCAACAAGATAAGACATTCATTTTATTCTCTGCCAGCCTGTGCTGTCCTGCAACAGGAAGACACAGGAGTGGGAAGTTGGAAAACACACCCAGATTGGCAAGCACAAATCAGAGGCCTCGTTCTCCAAGCATACATGCACACCATGTGCAAGAGAGGGCTATGTTAGCCTGGGTTAGCTTTAGGCTGCATCATGCATATAGCTGGCATGAGTCGTGCAGATATACAGCACACGCAGTTCCCAGTGATAAGGTCCCTTCCCAACTCCTCTGACAAGCACTGAGTGAGAGGCAGAAATCTATATATAGGAATGAACTCCCTACCACCTCCACCATATTTTGGTGTGGGAGACAAGGGAACCCTACAAAAATAAACTGAAGGGACTTGGATTTGTGCTTGCTAGTATAATATGCTAACTGAAAAGGAATGGAAGCATCTCTTTCTGGTCCTAGTTTCACCAGCACAGAACCGGTATGTCGCAGACAGAGTGCCAGTGAGGGGCTTGGTGCTGCAGAGCATCCTCATCAGGTTACAGCAGTGGTTTTCAAACTTTTTTTCTGGCGACCCAGTTGAAGAAAATTGTTGATGCCCATGACCCAACGGAGCTGGGGAGGGGTGTGGGAGGGGCTCAGGACTGGGACAGAGGGTTAGGATCAGGGCCGGTGCAAGGATATTTTGTGCCCTAGGCGAAACTTCCACCTTGCGCGCCCCCTCCGATGTCCAGCCCCCACCTTCCTATGGCCAAGTTCCCCCCAGGGGCCCAGATGTTCACAAAGTGCAGGGAGCACGGGGGGGGGCTGCAACGAGGGGGTCATATGGGGGCTCTTCCAGGAGGTGAAGGTGGCAGAGGGGGGGGTGCATGGGATTGTTGCAGGGGATGGAGGTGGTGGGGGTGTAGTGGCAGGGAAGAGATTGCACAGAGGCAAAAGGGGCTTGTTGCAGGGGGTACAGTGGCAGGGAGGGAGCGGCACAAGGGAGAAGTGGACAGGAGGGGGTTGTTGCAAGGGGCTGGCAGGCGGGGGTTTGTCTGTGCCCTGGGTTGTTGCAGGGGGGTGAAGGTGGCACGGAGGGGTTTGCACAAGGGAGGAGTGGGCAGAAGGGAGATGGCAGGTGGAGGGGGGGGTTCCGAGGTTGATGCAGGGGTGAAGGTGACCGTGGTGGCTGGGAAGGGGGGATTGTTGGGTGGAGGTTGCCCAGAGGCAAAAGTGGCAGGAGAGGATGGGTTGTTGGGGCATGGGGTGCACAGGGGAAAAGGTAGCTGGTCGGTGGGTGTTGGAGGGGGTGGCGCTGGCTGGGGGACAGGTGCCTGGGTTGCTCCCACATACACCATTCCCCAGGCCAGGGACTGGACCTGCCCACTCCCCGGCGCTCTGCGGGCCTGTACGGCTCCCTGCGGCCCGGCTAGGTACCTTGCAGGAGGAGACGACACCCAGCTTCTCCTCCCGAAGAGCAGAGCGCAGCTGCGCCTTCTTCCCCATGCCGCGGGCCGAGCCGGGCTCTCCGCTGCCCCCGGGGCTCTCAGCGGCAGTACAGGCAGCCAGACCCCTGCGCCCAATCCTGCTGCTGCCGCTGAGAGCCCCGGGGTGGCAGGGAGCCCGACTCGGCCCGTGGCACAGGGAAGAAGGCGCAGCTGCTAGCGCTAGACCCTCCCCTTCCCCGCTCCGCCGCTGGCTGCTCCCCCGGGGAGAGGGGCTGCTCGCGCTGCAGGCAGCCCCTCTGGAACTGGGAAGCAGCGGCAGCCTTGTGCTCCGCTGTTTAAAATATATATATTTGGGGCACTGCTTTTTGGCGCTCCCAACCACTTGGCGCCCTAAGCGGCCGCCTAGTCTGCCTAGTGGTTGCACCGGCCCTGGTTGGGATGTAGGGGTGGGGCCAGGGATGAAGGGTTTGGCCTGCAGGAGGGGGCTCCAGGTTTGAGGGGCTCAGGAATGGGACAGTGGGTTGGGGTGCAGGAGGGGGGTCAAGGCTCTGGGCTGGGGGTGCAGGTTCTGGAGTGGGGCCAGGGATGAGGGATTTGGGTGGAGGAAGGGGCTCTGGGTTTGGTGGGGCTCAGGCAGGGGATTGGTATGTGGGGTTGGGTATTGGGCTTACCTTGGGCAGCTCCCGGTCAGCGGGGGTGCTAAGGCAGGCTTCCTGCCTGTCCTGGCAACACAGACCGCACTACACCCCGGAAGCAGCCAGCAGCAGGCCCGGCTCCTAGGGGAACTGGCCAATGGCAGTGCAGAGCCAGTGCTTGGGGCGGGGGCAGCGCACAGAGCCCCGTGGCCCCCCCACCTAGGAGCCGGACCTGCTGCTGGCTGCTTCCGGGGCGCAGCGCAGTGTCAGAACAGATAGGGACTAGCCTGCCTCTGCTGGGCAGCACCGCCGATAGGACTTTTAACAGCGCGGTCGACGGTGCTGACCAGAGCCGCCATGACCCAGTGTCTTACAGTCCGCAACCCAGTACTTGATTGCAACCCGCAGTTTGGAAATCACTGGGTTAGAGTATGGACAACCCTGTACCGAATGGTGAATTGATTACAGTGGGGGAGGTCTAGGCTGGATATTAGGAAACACTATTTCACCAGGAGGGTGGTGAAGCACTGGAATGGGTTACCTAGGGAGGTGGCGGAATCTCCTTCCTTTTAGGTTTTTAAGGCCCGGCTTGACAAAGCCCTGGCTGGGATGATTTAGTTGGTGTTGGTCCTGCTTTGAGCAGGGGATTGGACTAGATAACCACCTGAGGTCTCTTCCAACCCTGATAGTCTATGATTAAACCAAATGACCAAACTGCATCTTGGTCATTTATTTTATGCAGCCTGTCTGGCAACAAAGGTACAGAACCACCAACATTTACCTACTAAATCTATCGTCTCTCTGCTTCATTGAAGACTCCCTGAACTCACCTCCTGCCTGCTAAATTCCCTCTCAACTACATGGCTGTGCAGCTGCCTATTAAGCCCCGGATAGGGACCTGCCCTGGACTTGCCATGGCGGGGGAGGGGGTGCCCCTCCCCAGGCCCCAACCCAGCCCTGACACAGACCTGCCGTGGCCTGGGGAGAGGCGCCTCTCCCCCCCCAGCCCAGGTGCTGCTGCAGGGAGAGAGGTGGGGGGGGGTCCTCTCTCCCCCATCATAGCCCCTGGGGCAGCTTGCACCCCAAACCCCTCATCCCCAGCCCCACCTCAGAGCCCACACCGCCAACTGGAGCCCTCACTCACCCACACCCCAATCCTCTGCCCCAGCCAAGCCCCCCTCTCACACGCCAAACCCCTCGGCCCCACCCCCACCACATGAAATTTTGTTATGTGCAGCAAAATAGAGGTGATGTGTCACACAACACCTCCATATTGGTGCACATAATTTATTCTGCACATGGGTGGGAAAAATTAGAGGGAACACTGCCTGCCTGGCTTACTGCTACAGTTTTAAAGAAACAATACATGTATCCTCTTCCAGCCTTAGTTTATCTAGATTACTACAATGTAATGAAGCAATATCAGTAATTTGGAATAGTAAGTCTTAGCAAATGTCTACAAGCAGCTGTGGTAGCAGCAACAACTCAAGCAACCAGAGTTTATTTTCACTTGAGTTCTACTGTATGCCAGGGCAATGGATTCTTCCTAACAGTGGAGGAGCAACGAAGCTCTGTTCCCACCATGGCCCTGCTCTCCCCCAACCCCCACCCCCACGCCCTGTCCCCCCCAAGCAAGCCGGAAGCCAGAGCTGGGCCAGGAAGCACTGGCCCCTCCACCTACCTGGAGTGGGAGGGCCTGGGAGCAGACCCTGGCCATGTCCCCATTCCCAGGGGTCCCCCGCCCAGGGTGGGGTGGGTGTGTCTCTCCCCACAGCTGCCTACATGGCTCTTACTCCAACCCGGCTCCGGCGTGGCTGGGGGGCAGGGACTCGGGGGCCAAAATGCCACAGGCAGGCCATGGCCCTCCACCCGGGAGCCATGGACCCTCCACCTGCCCTGGGCGGGGGGGGCCTGGGGACACGGGCTAAGGGCTGCTCTCATGACCCCCACCGCAGGCAAGTGGAGAGTCCACGGCTCCCCACAGCTGCCTGGGCTGCTCTTATGCAGGCCAGGCTTCAGCTTCCAGCCTGACTGTGGGGTGGGGCCTCAGGGAGAAAGTTGGGGCAGGAGGCTGGGCCCATGGCAAAAAGTCCACAGGGCAGGCCCATCCACTTTCAAAAGTGGTGGGGCCATGGCCCCTTGCCCCCCCCCCCCGCTGTATACTGCACCATCTATAAAGCATTAAGTTGTCACACCTTCTTGTCTCTAGAAGTACACTTGGCAAGACCACATCACCAACACTTCCCTGGCCTCTATAGGCCAGCTGGCAAGGTTCCATGGTGAATGTGGCAGCAGCAGCACATCACAGGCTAGGACGGCATTGAGCAGGAGCCACAACTCCAGAAGTAGAAGTATGGCCAGTTTTGAGAACCCCACCAGATGTGGAAAAGCCTCACCCTCACATATCCAGGTTATGAGGGGCATTCAAGCTCATTACACTGAAGCTGGTTGATATTTGCATTTCCTCTTTAAATACCAAAGTGCATCTAGCAAGCAACATGATAACAAGTACTCATCTAGTATTAACATGTACAGACAGCTACAGGGCACCCAATGCACATCTACATGAGCATTCATAACATGGATCGAGGCACACATTATACTGATAGACCTGTATTAAGCCTAAAGCCAGTAACAGCAACGGGGCTCTACAGAAAAATCTACCCTATGTCCTGCAGTTGCCCTCTGACGTAGGGTTTTCAAAGCAGCAAAGAGAAACAATGGGCCTGAACAGCATTTGAATGGCAATGAAACAGGAAGCATGCTAATGCCAGAACTGGGGAAAGCATTGTGTCTCCATGAATTGCAGCTTCAGCATGAGAGAGTTGTCACACGGTACCTTTAAAGCCTTCTTCATCCAGCATAATGGTGTAGTCCTCGGGAGTCTCTGTCAAGCTGAAGAACTTGCACCTACCAACACATAATTGAATGTAATGCGCACACTGAAAGATTTTCCAGTACTGGTTCACTTGCCACAGGCAGAGCAATTCCTCTCAGGTAAGGATAGTTAAGGTACTTTTCCATGGACCTGTATGCTTGCCTCACCCACCATTTCCCCTCTGCAAACTGGAAGGAACCATCTACACTACACAGCCACATTTAAGCACTGTTGTGAAACACAGCAGTGGCCCAACAGGATTAGAAACACTCATGTTTCACAACAGTGCTTAGACAGGACCGGTTTCCTTCCATCCAATCATGTTTAGTACTGCAAGATTACTGGCTTTGATTTTTAAAGATGCATCCAGTCTTTGAGGAGGGAGACCCAGGCTATAGCATGTTTTTATAAACCCCTCCTCATTATTATCTACAGTAGGACTTGAAAGCATTAGCACTGTTCTAGCAAGAATCAACATCAAACATGACTCTAGCTAACATGACTACTCTCTGGCATAGAGTGATGCCCACAGACAGCACCACATCCAAGGGCAGCTGGGATGTTTCAGTGGATTCGGGGTGAGAGGGAATGGTTTTAAAGAGCACACCTGAATTCAGAAGCACACTTCTCAGTGGAGAGAAGACACGCAGCAACAGAGTTAAGTGTTCTCATGAAGGGAGCTAGGGCTCTCTGAGCCTGGGGCAATTTCATTCACAGACACCCAACAGATGGACCTGGGTTTTGTAGGCATATCAGGACAGGGGAAATCCCGCAGCTGCTGACTCACAAGGAAATTTGATGCAAGCCAGAGACGCAACAAGCATGGCAACAAACAGCTGCCCGGTGCCAACATTCACTTGTGTTAGGAGTGAGCAAGACCCAACTTGGAGTGAGCACAAAGCGGACTTATCCATGATTGTGTGTGAAAGTGTCAGGTAAGCGAGGCTGTGCGTGCCAGACAATCAGCTTCCAAATATACTAGGCATTTTTGCACAGGTTAAAGTTCTATTTTACATCAGTACTCGTTATGCTAAAGTTCCAGAGCACCAGCCCATGAACAAGAATGTGCAAAGAGCAATCTAGCACAGGAGTGTGCATAGTTGTGAAAGCATCTTGTATTATATGACCCAAAAAAGCTTTTCATACTCACACTTCTAACGTGTGCCTACCCTGGGAATGTGGGAGAAAGAAAATGTCTGAATGTCATGGTCTCCATATTAAAGGAAGACAGGACTCCCTTCACCCTGGCCCAGTTTCATCTCATCATAGAAGCTGCCTACCAAAGCAACATGTACTCCAGCAAGCCATCTCCACACATACAGCCTGCTACGCACTGCATCCCACCTCACCCTGCAAGCAAAGCAACCATTCTCCCATAATTTGCCCCAATCCAACCCATTATCCATGCCCACCCACCCCCCTCAATCGTGGCCCCGACATCTAGCTAAAGCTCATCCACCTGGGATCCTTCAATTACAGTTCACTCCCATTAGCGCCTACCACAATCAGAAAGAGGGAGCAGGATGCCCAGAGAGGATTGAAGGTATCCATCTCCCCCCATATCCATTATCTACTACCCTGACTCACTGGGGGCACACAGCTTCGCACCCCAAATTAACCAATCCTCCTAACCCCTCTCACTCTCATCCCCTCCCCCGACACGACACCAGTATCTCCTTCTCTCCCTGACCCCACCACATGTTTCACAGACCAAGGGCTTTCACCGCCCCCGCCGTCCATCACCCCTCCTCACATACAAAGGGCGGCCCGTAGGCCCATACACATCCCCAGGGACTCTGCAGTTTGGAAAGGAAGTGAGAGACTGAACTTGGGCCACTAGCTCTTCCATCAGCTGCCCCACAGCCATGCTCACCTGCTCTGCTCCCGGCCGGCCCACTGCCCCCCCTCCCCGTGCCAAGCCGGGGCCCTCTGACCCTCCAGCCCCCAACACGCCAGGGCAAGGCAGGCTCCCTCCGCCCGGTACCTGCTGCGGCGGGGCAGGAGCAGCAGCTTGAGGAGCGGGTGCGTGTAGAGCCAGAGGCCGCGGCGGGCGAGGCTCAGCACCCGCACGCGATGCTCCAGGATCTGCAGATCCATGGCGGAGCCGCTCCGGAGCAGGCACGGGAAGAGACACAGCTATAAACGGGCCGCGGCCCCAGCCCGCCCCGCCCCGGATCCTCCCCTGGGCCGGCCTCGGGGAGGCGGGGGAGCGGGCGCACAGCGAGGGCACCCAGCGCTAAGCCGCGCCTCTCCCAGGCCCGGACTCTGAGCCGGCCCGGCTCCGGTTCCAGTGGATCTGTGGGTGAGCCCGGGAATTGGGAACTGGCTCCAACCCATTAGCCTCAGCCAAGAACCGGGCCCACAACCACAGGGACCGCAACGTTAGATTCAGCTCCTGAACCCGAGCCAGGGCCGAGCCCTCCCCTGATTCCAACCCAGAGCTGAGCCTACAGGGACCCCAGAAGAACCATATCCCCCAGCTGCTCCCAAACTAAAGCCAACACCTATTCCTAGCCCAGCCCAGAACTGAACTCACAAGGCCCACCAAACCAGGTCACTTCCTAATTCCAGCCCAGAACCAGACCCAAACCAACAGGATCCCAGAACCACCTCCACCTGACTGCCCCATCCTCATTCCTCTCCTTTACATCAGTACACTACAGAGGCTGTCTCTGATCTGGTGAGATATAAATAACAAGCAGGCTGTACTTTTAGGTTGCAGCTAAAAATGCCTGCTGCTGCAGTGACTTTAACTCAGCCATGTGACTCTTAGGAACTGGAGACCAGTCTTGTTTTCCTGTTTAAATGTGCAGTGCAGTCTATTATGCCTGCACCATGGGCAGACTCCTGCTCCAATGGTCTCCACACAGATGCCCAGTGGTTCTCAACCTTTCCAGACTATTGTACCCCTTTCAGGAGTCTGATCAGACATAAAATACAAAAGTGTCACAGCACACTATTACTGAAAAATTGTTACTTTCTCATTTAACCATATAATTATAAAATAAATCAATTGGAACATAAATACTGTTCTTACATTCCAGCGTATAGTCTATAGGGCAGTATAAATAAGTCATTGTCTGTATGAAATTTTAGTTTGTACTGACTTCGCTAGTGCTTTTTATGTAGCCTGTTGTAAAATTAGGCAAATATTTAGATGAGTTGATGTACCCTCTGGAAGACATCTGTGTACCCCCAGGGATTCACATACCCCCAGTTGAGAACCACTGTAAGTGTAGCCCACCCGCACAGTGCTCATTGTAGGATTGGGGCCTTGTCCTATATTGTGGCCTTCAGTGTATCTCATTTGCAGGACATGCAACACAACTAATAGGTTTCCCAAGCTGTCAACTGTCCTGGGAAATTGGCCAGGACACCAAGGCACTGAGATTGGCTCAGTCAACCTAGTACTGTTGGCAGGTACGTGGAGCCCAGGCCTGCTTCTGAAATGTGCAGGGATCCTATCATCAGTTGACCTTGTTGCAGGAATCTGATCTCTTTAGATTTCAGCTGTGCGTCCGGAACATTGAACGAATGAAGGTTTTATTTGTATTTAATTTCTTAGGTATTTTTGGGAGGAGGCAATGGGGTTTGAAGGAAAACCAAGAAAAAAATCTCTGTATCTATTCCAACAGGCCTCAACTGGGTTTACTGCTGAGTGACAGCTCATCTTCCTCAGAAACCACTCAATGCAACTGGCTCAAAATTATATATTAAAAAAAAAAACTAATAAAACCCCACCCAATCATCACGTTAGCGTGGAGCCCAAGCATGGAAAATTTCAACCCAAAAGACAATTGTGTGGAAAGCTACAAGCAACTATTGGCAGAAGGTCATAGCAAAAACCATTGTGCAATTTATCTTAGATGACTACTACCCACCAAAGTTATAATTCCAGTTAATCCAGGTTTTAGTTCATCATTGACAGAAATACAAGTTAATTAACAAATGATAAACAGAAGCAGCTGGGCGACAATGGGACTGATGCCATGGAGCTCATTACAGGATAGAACTGATGGGAAATTTTTCAATCAGACTTTGCTGGAAAATACAATTTTGTCAAAAATGCTTTATGTGTGTTGAAATGTATCAGGGTAGAGGGCTTCCCTGTGTTAGAATAGTCAATAGCCCAGTGGTTAGGCCACTTACCTACAATGTGGGAAAAACCAAGTTCCAGTCCTTGCGCCTGCTCAGGCAGAATAGTCACTAGAATCTGGGTGTCCTACATTCCAGGTGAGTGTCCTAACCACTATGGGTGGAGTCCAACTCTCCTGTTGGAACTGTTCCACTAAATAATTGAATAGTCACTCATGGGGTTTATAGATTCATAGATTCATAGATTCTAGGACTGGAAGGGACCTCGAGAGGTCATTGAGTCCAGTCCCCTGCCCGCATGGCAGGACCAAATACTGTCTAGACCATCCCTGATAGACATTTATCTAACCTACTCTTAAATATCTCCAGAGATGGAGATTCCACAACCTCCCTAGGCAATTTATTCCAGTGTTTAACCACCCTGACAGTTAGGAACTTTTTCCTAATGTCCAACCTAGACCTCCCTTGCTGCAGTTTAAGCCCATTGCTTCTTGTTCTATCCTCAGAGGCTAAGGTGAACAAGTTTTCTCCCTCCTCCTTATGACACCCTTTTAGATACCTGAAAACTGCTATCATGTCCCCTCTCAGTCTTCTCTTTTCCAAACTAAACAAACCCAATTCTTTCAGCCTTCCTTCATAGGTCATGTTCTCAAGACCTTTAATCATTCTTGTTGCTCTTCTCTGGACCCTTTCCAATTTCTCCACATCTTTCTTGAAATGCGGTGCCCAGAACTGGACACAATACTCCAGTTGAGGCCTAACCAGAGCAGAGTAGAGCGGAAGAATGACTTCTCGTGTCTTGCTCACAACACACCTGTTAATACATCCCAGAATCACGTTTGCTTTTTTTGCAACAGCATCACACTGTTGACTCATATTTAGCTTGTGGTCCACTATAACCCCTAGATCCCTTTCTGCCGTACTCCTTCCTAGACAGTCTCTTCCCATTTTGTATGTGTGAAACTGATTTTTTCTTCCTAAGTGGAGCACTTTGCATTTGTCTTTGTTAAACTTCATCCTGTTTAACTCAGACCATTTCTCCAATTTGTCCAGATCATTTTGAATTATGACCCTGTCCTCCAAAGCAGTTGCAATCCCTCCCAGTTTGGTATCATCCGCAAACTTAATAATCGTACTTTCTATACCAATATCTAAGTCGTTAATGAAGATATTGAACAGAGCCGGTCCCAAAACAGACCCCTGCGGAACCCCACTTTCCAGCAGGATTGGGAACCATTAATAACAACTCTCTGAGTACGGTTATCCAGCCAGTTATGCACCCACCTTATAGTAGCCCCATCTAAATTGTATTTGCCTAGTTTGTCGATAAGAATATCATGCGAGACCGTATCAAATGCCTTACTAAAGTCTAGGTATACCACATCCACAGCTTCTCCCTTATCCACAAGACTCGTTATCCTATCGAAGAAAGCTATCAGATTGGTTTGACATGATTTGTTCTTTACAAATCCATGCTGGCTGTTCCCTATCACCTTACCACCTTCCAAGTGTTTGCAGATGATTTCCTTAATTACTTGCTCTATTATCTTCCCTGGCACAGAAGTTAAACTAACTGGTCTGTAGTTTCCTGGGTTGTTTTTATTTCCCTTTTTATAGATGGGCACTATATTCGCCCTTTTCCAGTCTTCTGGAATCTCTCCCGTCTCCCATGATTTTCCAAAGATAATAGCTAGAGGCTCAGATACCTCCTCTATTAGCTCCTTGAGTATTCTAGGATGCATTTCATCAGGCCCTGGTGACTTGCAGGCATCTAACTTTTCTAAGTGATTTTTAACTTGTTCTTTTTTTATTTTATCTGCTAAACCTACCCCCTTCCCATTAGCATTCACTAGGTTAGGCATTCCTTCAGACTTCTCGGTGAAGACCGAAACAAAGAAGTCATTAAGCATCTCTGCCATTTCCAAGTTTCCTGTTACTGTTTCTCCCTCTTCACTAAGCAGTGGGCCTACCCTGTCTTTGGTCTTCCTCTTGGTTCTAATGTATTGATAAAAAGTCTTCTTGTTCCCCTTTATTCCCTTAGCTAGTTTGAGCTCATTTTGTGCCTTTGCCTTTCTAATCTTGCCCCTGCATTCCTGTGTTGTTTGCCTATATTCATCCTTTGTAATCTGTCCTAGTTTCCATTTTTTATATGACTCCTTTTTATTTTTTAGATCATGCAAGATCTCGTGGTTAAGCCAAGGTGGTCTTTTGCCACATTTTCTATCTTTCCTAACCAGCGGAATAGCTTGCTTTTGGGCCCTTAATAGTGTCCCTTTGAAAAACTGCCAACTCTCCTCAGTTGTTTTTCCCCTCAGTCTTGATTCCCATGGGACCTTACCTATCAGCTCTCTGAGCTTACCAAAATCCGCCTTCCTGAAATCCATTGTCTCTATTTTGCTGTTCTCCCTTCTACCCTTCCTTAGAATTGCAAACTCTATGATTTCATGATCACTTTCACCCAAGCTGCCTTCTACTTTCAAATTCTCAACGAGTTCCTCCCTATTTGTTAAAATCATTAGCTCATCAACACCATGCCTAATAAGCCACTGAGAATCCATCTGCCAATTAAGTCCACTCCAGGGTTGGTTGGTTGTTTTTACAAAAAATGTGTGGGCATGTTGTGAAGGACAAAAGTATAACTGGGTTCAAAAAAGAATTTGATGCGTTCATGGAGGCTTCGTCCATCAATGGCTATTATCCAAGATGGTCAGGGACACCATCCTATGCTCTAGGTGTCCCTAAATCTCTGACTGCCAGAAGCTAGGATTGGACAATGGGATGGATCATTCGATAACTGCCTTTTTCTGTTCATTCCCTCTGAAGCAGCTGGCCATTGTCTGAAGACAGGATACTGGACTAGATGGACCATTGGTCTGACCCATAGGCCGTTCCTATGTTGAAAAGTCTCCATTTCATTCTGATGGGGTATTCCAAATTCCAAAACCTCAATTTTTTTCATAAAGCCAATGGGTTTGCCCTTGCTTTCAAAGAGAGCAGTCCAAGGCCTTCTTTTACAGCTAACAG